GAGTAATATGTTTTGTGTGCTCAATCCTTATATGGATTTCCAAGATGACCCAATGACAAACTGTTCAGAAATATACAGCGTGTCCCACTAGTGCGGGAAAGTCCAATATCTATGTTAAAATGAGGAACATATGGATTTTTCTTTTTACTGTGTTGCCACATTTCTCGGAATGTACAAATTAAAAATATATTCAACTATACAGGGTGTTCCACTTTTCCTGGCCAGACACCAACTTTGGTTTTTTAAATGGAAACACACATTTTTTATATTTTTTTCGGATTCTACATCAAAAATAAAGGGTACTTTGTGTAGAATAGTTCTATTCAAATATTCACAGTTTTTGAGATATCTCGCTTGAAAGGTTTTTCTAGTCGATATTGGTTGCTTACATTTTCTGATACTGACAGGTTATACTAATAGCTACTAAGCCCATTTTTTTATCAGATGTTTAGTAAGGATGACTCTTCCGAATCATGCTCCAAAAACTGGCCTGCGTTATACAGGGTGACCAAAATATCATGTCAAAATTGCCAATTGAAAAATTGAAAAATCTCGATTTTTTTAAATGCAACGCCCTGTATATTTTCATACCATGAGATGCAGAATTAAATTCTCTACAACTTTGCTATACCTGCTCCTATACCAAAATTCATTAGTTTTTCATGAAATCTCATTTCTATGAAAAAATGCGAAGTTTACAAATAGCTTATATGTAAAATAACGTAGTAGGCTCCTGTCAAAGGATAATCTGGAAAATTTTCGATTCACATAAGGTTTAATAGAAAAGCGACAGTAATAATTGTGAAATGAATTACTCTAAAGAAGAATTAGTAAATAAATAATAGAATAATTAGTAAAACTCATGGTAACTGTTTATTGGCAAGTCGTATTTACCAAGCTAATAATCCAGATTTACAAAGATATCCTCGTACAAAGTGTTTTGTAAAACTGAAGGAGAGGTTTGAAAGAACAACAAATGCAAATTATGAGAAGACAACAAGAACACACGCATGCAGTATCCAAAACAGTAAATTAACATCGTGCATTTCTAACAAAAGTAATAAAGACCTAGTTAAATTAGTAATTAACAGGTAACCGCTCAAAATGTCTGCCATTTTTCTCTAGACATTGAGCAATTCTACGACGAAAATTGCTTGACACATTTCGCAGCATTTCCGGAGTTACGGTCAAAAAAGCATTTCTTATCTTTGCCCGTAAATCTTCTACATCTGTCGGAGGAGTTTCATACACCCTGTCTTTTATATAGCCCCATAAAAAAAATCAAGACAAGACAGGTCTGGGGATCGGGGAGGCCATGGAATTGGCTACCTATCCACTTATCTGGATACAAATCATTTAAGTATTCTCTAACCTGAAACAGTTTTTCTATGAATTTACATAACTTACATAATGAGAAAACTTACCGCCAGTGTGGAATGTGCAGGGGCACCATCATGTTGGAACCACTGACTGTTTAAGTCATCCGGAGGAATATGTCCCTGCAATTGGAGCAAGTCGTTTTGTAAAAATTGCAAATACCCATTACCAGTTAAGTTTCCTTCAAGAAAATGTGGTCCAATGACATATTCTCCGCATATTCCCGCCCAAACGTTGACTTTAAAGCGGTGTTGATGATCGTCTTGTCTTATTAATCTGGGATTATGATCGGCGTAATGGTGATAATTATGTCGACTCTCTCGACCAGTATTGGCAAAGGATGACTCGTCAGTAAATAACACCTTTGAAAAAAAAATTCATCTTGTTGTAGCTTTATAGTTGCCCACTCACAAAACTGTACTCGCTTCTGAAAATCTTGCTGTGTTAAGAATTGGTGATGCTCAGAATGATAGGGGTGGAAGTTGTTTTTCTTTAACGTTCTATTAACCACACTTTTGGAAATACTAATTTCATCACTAATTTCTCTGACACTTGTAGATGGATTTTGGACTGCACATTCCAAAATGTCAATTTGACTATCCTGATTACCACATGCGTGTGTTCTTGTTGTCTTCTCATAATTTGCATTTGCCGTTCTTTCAAACCTCTCCTTCAGTTTTACAAAACACTTTGTACGAGGATATCTTTGTAAATCTGGATTATTAGCTTGGTAAATACGACTTGCCAATAAACAGTTACCATGGGCTTCTCTTCTTCTATTAAACCTTTCTTTCTATTAAACCTTATGTGAATCGAAAATTTTCCAGATTATCATTTGACAGGAGCCTACTACGTTATTTTACATATAAGCTATTTGTAAACTTCGCATTTTTTCATAGAAATGAGATTTCATGAAAAACTAATGAATTTTGGTATAGGAGCAGGTATAGCAAAGTTGTAGAGAATTTAATTCTGCATCTCATGGTATGAAAATATACAGGGCGTTGCATTTAAAAAAATCGAGATTTTTCAATTTTTCAATTGGCAATTTTGACATGATATTTTGGTCACCCTGTATAACGCAGGCCAGTTTTTGGAGCATGATTCGGAAGAGTCATCCTTACTAAACATCTGATAAAAAAATGGGCTTAGTAGCTATTAGTATAACCTGTCAGTATCAGAAAATGTAAGCAACCAATATCGACTAGAAAAACCTTTCAAGCGAGATATCTCAAAAACTGTGAATATTTGAATAGAACTATTCTACACAAAGTACCCTTTATTTTTGATGTAGAATCCGAAAAAAATATAAAAAATGTGTGTTTCCATTTAAAAAACCAAAGTTGGTGTCTGTCCAGGAAAAGTGGAACACCCTGTATAGTTGAATATATTTTTAATTTGTACATTCCGAGAAATGTGGCAACACAGTAAAAAGAAAAATCCATATATTCCTCATTTTAACATAGATATTGGACTTTCCCGCACTAGTGGGACACGCTGTATACAATCGCTTTGGCGAATGTTACAAAAACTATCAACATCGATGACAAAGAAAAGATTTTAATTCGTATTTTGGAAAACCCAGATCTGAGTATTCGTCGGTTAACTGCGACAACAGGGATAACAATGATCTGGAGAACTTTAAAGAAACATAATCTCTGGCCATATCACTATACTCCTGTCCAAAATTTATTACTTGAAGATTTACCAGCTCGCTTCAATTTTTACTAGATAAACCGAAAACCAAGATTTTCTTAATAGCATCCTTTTCACCTTTGAGGCGTCCTTTACTAAACTAGGTGTTTCTAATTGGAAAAACAATAATTTTTGAGAATCCGAAAATGCACATGCTCTAAGGCAAAGAAATTTTCAGCATGAATTCAAGGTAAACATTCGATGTACTGTGATATCTGTTTTCTTTCTAAGTCCTTTTGAAGGACCACTCTATTTGAACTCTGTCACCCAAAACACTCCTCGAAAGTGTACTTATGCAGAATGGGGCGCCACCACATTTTGCTCTGCCAGTGCGCCAGTACCTGAATGAACATTTTCCTCATCGGTAGATTGGCCAGTGAATTTGTTTGGTGACCTAGAAGTTCAGATTTAAACCATCTAGAGCTCTCAATATGGTCACATATGAAGGAATGATTTACAAAGAAAGGATTAATTTCATCGAGGAGTTGCGACAAAAAGTTCAAGAAGCAGTGAATGCGGTTAAAAATAATCGACACATTTTATTTAATATCCAAAGATCTTTAAGAAAGCGCATTGCAAAGTGTACTGACATTTTGAGCATTTACTCTAAAGTTTTATTTTATTCCCGATTATATTACTGTTATCGATTGTTATTGTTATGTGTTATCTTTGTTGTTGTTACCACGCACGTTAATTTAAAAGAATACAAATTTCTGAAAAGCAATATACAGGGTGCTAGTAAATAAGTGTGACAAATTTCAGGGGGTGATTCAACATGAGAAAATAATGGCAGTTTGCTTATAAACTTATGTCCGCAAATGATTCTTTTTCCGAGGTATGGGGTGTCAAAGTTTTTCTTAAAAACTGACGATTTAATTTATTGCTCTGAAACCAGTCGAGATGTGCAAATGAAATTTGGTGGGTTTTAAGAGGTAGTTATTGCGCATTTTTTGATACGCAATTAAGAATTTTATGTTCATCATTGGCGCGCGTACGGGTTATCTCAATTTTTTTAAAGAAAAAAATGGTACGCCACTGAGTATTACAAATTAAAAATCATTTTTGAATTCCTCGTACAATTTGTGATAAAAAAATCCCTCTTGCCTTTTCTTCGTATGGGGCGCCGTTTTGACGCAAAAAAAATAAAACATCTTAACTTGACTTAATTGACTTGGAACTAGCAGTGGATTTTTGGTAATGTACACATTGTTCTTATCCTCTTTAATTGGTGAAAACTGGTCTATATTAGGATGCTGTATACTCCAGAAGGCATTTATGTAGATCTGGGACAAAATAAAGTCGAAAATATAATAGAAGGATCATATCATTAATTAGCTGCGAAGGCTTCGTCAGCATGGCACATATCGGATATATTTCAGGGCAGCACAGCGTAGCCTAGTCAAGCCGAGTTTTCTGTAATCTGAAGAAATATATTAAACATCCACTTTTCACACATAATAGGCATAACAATGACAGATACACGTATACATATCTATGAAGAAAAAAAATTCCTTCCTTTACTGTTTATGCTGTGCTATTAATATTCAATATGCGGCGGAACTTACATTGACCCGAAACCTGTTAAAAACCATCAAATAAGTCAACAACCACCATAAAAGTTCCCTACGGAGAATTGTGGAGTGTTAGAACGCGGGCTCTGTAGTAAAGTAACAAAAACAACATATATACAAGCACGAAACATTAATCTAAAGAAGAGCATTCAATTCATGGCAAGGATGTTCAAATTAGTTAAAGAAACCAGAGGCCTAACAAAGAATGAAAACTAGGTTAAAAACAAGGGACTCCTTTTAATAGACCATAAAGCTGAATTACTTCTGACATTGTGATATTGTCTAAGAGTTGATTAATGACAAAATAATATTAAATAGGTTAAAACGGTATAGTTAATTATGTATTTTATTACTTACAACCAATTTTTTGTGTAATTCCAAATATTGCTATTGCAATCCCCATAGCGAATAAGTTTTTCCCGAATGCCCAGTAAAGTGCTGATTGTATTTTGGTGTATTTGTAATCTGGTTTATACATTATACCAGCAATTAGTACTATGAAGATACATAAGCCAAAAGTGAGAATCCACCATAAAATAATATGAACCTAAAAAAGGGTAAAACATGTACTTTTTTTGTTCTAAAAATTATGATTTAGTGATTCATTAACGGTATCGAGCGGCTGTATATAGGAAATTAGACGTGCTACGATTATGGGGTAAAAAATCTATTAACAAATACGACCAGAAGAAATTGATTTAAAATATTTTCAAGTTTGTAACTTCACCGCTAGGGGGCGCAACTGCTATAGTGTTACAGAAAATTGTCCACTTTTCGAAATTTCGCTTATATAACCTAAGTTGAAAATACATTTTTTAGATACACTGTTAAACCTTTCACAAGTTTTGTTTGAACTTTTTTTTTGTTATTACCATAAAATTTTTAAATTGTCATAACTTCTAAATGCCTTAATCGATTTCGGCTCATTTTAAAGAACTATTAATAAAATTTATTTTTGTGATAGGAATAAAAATATTATTTTCCTGCGCAACGGTAGACGACGCTAATGAGAAAAGTTTTGTAATTGACTCCGTTTACTTCATACTGACGTCGCTATGGTAATAACAAAAAAAAAGTTCAAACAAAAGTTGTGAAGGGTTTAACAATGTACCTATCTAAAAAATGTATTTTCAACGTAGGTTATATAAGCGAAATTTCGAAAAACCGACAATTTTTTATAACACTACAGCAGAGCCCTAGAGGTGAAGTTACAAACTTGAAAATATTTTAAATCAATTTCTTTTGGTCGTATCTGTTAATAGATTTTTTACCCCATAATTGTAGCACGTCTAGTTTCCTATATACAGTCGCTCGATACCGTTAATGGATCACCCTGTATATTATATTATCTGAAAATGATCGCCTCTTCCGGGTATTGCTGTGGTCTCCCATTATGTTAAGCCTTTCAAAATTCATTAACTGGTTTTAAGATTTTTTCGGATACTGCAACACCCGGAAGAAATACTGCCTTTAATTCTGTTAGAAAACAAACTAAATAATATTCTTGATTGAGAGGTTTTTTAACAGAAAACCTTGCATTAATTGCATTAAGAAAACTAGAACTGGTGGGGTTTGCATTATAATAAAAAAATGTAATCATAAAAATTACAAAAATTAGTAAGCAACAACTTCACCATGAAGTACTTTTAATTGAGTTTCTACATAAACGTGAAAAGTATACATTATTTATTGCCTTACATGTATATTCGGGATATGAGCATATAGGTAGGTATAGACAGGAGAGAACACCATGTGTACAAGAATATGAGGACTTTATAAATTTTTTATCATTGAAAAATATTAATAATATTACTAATGCAAATCATCATTTGCTTGACCTTGTTCTAGTAAGCAATGAGCAATTAGATGTTATGGTAAAACGGAAGATTGTCTTTTACCGAAGATTTACATCACCCTGCTGCCAAAGTCAATATCACAGAATCTATTAATAGTATTAATAGCAATTATTCCACATCAAAAGAAGTAACAATTTTAAAAAATGTATTTTTTTTGGATTTAAGTACAACACTTTGAGACATATATTGGTCATCAGTTACTCACGAAAATGATGTAGATATTTCAGTTGATAAATTTTATCGTATTATTTATAATATATTCAACAGAATTGTATCAAAAATAAGTTTTAAATTATCTAATAAACGTCAATATCCTTTTTTAACCATAAAATCTGTTCTCTAATAAAAGAAAAAAAAACTAAAAAAGTTAAAATTATTATCGAATATTTTTGAGGATCAATATAAACTTGTTAGGAAAGTCTCTTACTAGTACACGTACACTGCCGGCCTTTTGAAATTGGACGATTTATTTTTCTAATGTGATGTGGTCTACTTCTTATTATGACAAGTTTTTATATGTCAGTGTCATTAGTAATTTGCTTGGTAATTCAAGATGCCGCGTTTAACGGAATCAGAGAAAGTGGGAGCTATAACTTTACTTCAGAATGATTGGTTATTGCGGATGATCTGCAGGTATGCAAGAACAGCATATTTAAACTCAAAGAAAAATGGATTGCGGAGGGTCACGTACGTTATGTTCACGGAGGTGGACGTCGAAAAGTAAACGCCACCTAAGAATAAATCCTTTTGACATGGCAGTAGCGGCTTTCTTTGAGACGAATTTTCCTAGATCAGTGGGAACCGAAAGATTCGGAGCTGAAGAATTATGTGGCCGCAAATACAGTTGCTTTGACTCCCCAGTATAAAGAACAGAGGTTAGAGTGTGCAAGACAATTTGCAGGAAGCCCAGACAACTTTTGGGAGAATATTATATTTGTCCGTGTCTACCCACCAGAGATTATAAGGTATTCGGAGCCTTATGTGAAACCCACACAGCGCAGCGATAGATTCTCCATTAACGTTTGGGCTTGGATAAGCCAAAGTACTGATGTTTGTTGTGACCCTGCTGTATCCTCAGAATTTCACTTTCAAGCAGGATAATTGTGCAATTCACACCTCAAGAGTTGCGTCAGAATGGTTCATTGATAACAACATCGATGTTTTACCTTGGCCCTCCAAGTCCTGGGGATATATGGTGAAAAAAATTTACGGCAGAAACTTCCGTCCAGTTAACGTCGAAGAACTTTGGGAGGCAATGAAATCGCATGGGATAACATCACTGAGGATTATAACAAGAACAATAATTTTATCAATGCCATGTAGATTGCAGTGTTATAGACAAAAATGGTGCTTGGACAAAATACTAACTTTACGAATCGCGTTTTTTTGTCGACGAAAAGTGTTTCATTTTTAGATCTCGTTGACGGCAAATGAATGGCCGTTAGAATGTATAATATATTTCAGTATTGGAAAAATAAATAATTTGCTACCTAATTTGGATTTGTTTTGTTCGCTAGTACTAGTATGATAGACACACATTAAATTTGACATAATAACAGCTAATTTGAACCTTACATTTTCAAGTCAATTTCACAAAGGCCAATTATAGACAATTTGCTTATAAGAGTCGTCCACTTTCAAAGGGCCGGCACTGTACCATAATTATCTCACAGAAGTTGAAAGAAATGTTCAATCAAATTACAAAAATGTTTTCTGTTATATTAAGAATAAACAAGCGGCTTGTTCCGCTTTTATAGGCTAGAAAAATTATCTGGGAAATGGCCATTTCGCTACTTTTTGTTTCGGCAAGCTGAATTTATCTATATAGATGCTAAATATAACAATAACAATATTATTTTCCACAGTCATAAAAATGGGGGGAAGATTGTTTAAAGGCTGGTTAATTGTATAATTTTTACGTAAATTCACGTTTTTCGCTTATAACTTTTTTTCCATTCAAAACAGCAAAGTATTTATTTTTCGTCTTCAAAAACCGGCAACCCGAGTGCTTTCCCAGATAAAAATATTTTATTTGTGGAAGTATGTAAGTACATAAGGAATATTGTCAAAAGTCAGTGGGTCGCTTGATTTTTCGTCGAGCAGTGGCTCGGCAGAAGAGTGGGGAAGCGAACGACGGAATTTAAACAAAAAGGTAGATTTCAATCTATTATTATTAAATCTACCATGAAAAAATCAGTGCGATTTTGGAAGATGCTCGGAATCGTCTAGACTAATAATAATTAGTTAATTTGTTTATAAGGCCATAATTTGTAAACCATTCAACTTAACGATTCCAGATTTCGTGTGAGTTATTAGTCAGTGATAAAGAATGAGAGGATGCGATGCCAAAACGTTCTGGTAGTAATAACGCAGTTTATAAATGTTTAATTCAAAAGTCATAAATAAACTTTTTCTGTTTATAACTTTTGATCTAATAAATATTTTTTGACGCTCGAGGGCTAGTTTTGTAGGTCTTTTGAAGACGAAAAAAAGTACTTTACCGTTTTCTCGTGGAAATTAACGAAAAAAAGATATAAACGAAAAACGTGAATTTACGTAAACATTATACAATTAACCAGCCTGTAAACAATCTTCCCCACATTTTTATGACTGTGGAAACTAATATGTTATTGTACATAATATTTAGCATCTATAGAGATAAATTCAGCTTGCCGAAACAAAAAGTCGCGAAATGATCATTTCCCAGCTCTTTTTCCTGGCCTATAAAAGCGGAACAAGACGCTTGTTTATTCTTGATATATGAAAAAATTTGTGTAATTTGAACGAACATTTATTTCAACTTCTGCGAGGTAATTATGGTACGTGTACTAGTAAGAGAGTTTAACTTTTTCCTAACAAGGTTATATTGATCCTCAAAAATATTCGATAATAATTTTAATTTTTTTAGTTTATTTTTTTCTTTTATTAGAGAATGGATTTTATGGTTAAAAAAGAATATTCGACGCTTTAGTACGAAAACATGCTATATCAGATTTCGGTTGGAAAATATGCTATCTCAAATTTCAGTTGGAAAACATGCTATCTCAAATTAGGCTTGGAAAACATGCCAACTCAGATCTTTAGGTAAAAACATGCTATCTCAGTGTGACTAGAAATTTAAGCTGGCACATTGAATGATTGAAACCGTGCATTTATAATAAACTTATATAATATATTTTTGAAAAAGTAAGGAATGTTTATGTTCAAGTACACTGTTTATTTAATATTTTTTTATTTAATATTTTCAATTAATTTTGTTAAGTTACTGTTATAAACGACAAAATTGTTAATTAAAAAAATAGAATAATATGCAGTATGCTGCAACACGTACATTACTCGACGTTTTTTGAAATAACAAATTATAAAAAAAATAGTGAATACCTTAATATATAAAAATGTTTGTTATTACAAAAAATTATTCGATTTTTTTCATACAAGTTTGCTTTAATATTAAAATTAATAGCGTACTCTTATCTAATTTATAGTCGCCGCCGTCAGAAGCGAAAGTAATATTTACGACAAGGTTTCCAATCCAAACCCCAAGATCCAGCACCAAGCTTCAAGTCCGATTTCCAGCATAGGAATCCAGCCACCATCCAGCCGCCACAAACCAAGAAGAAACTCCATCATCGGAAAAGAAACAATATTAACTATGCTTCCGATTCCCGCAACAAAAATCGACAAGGTATCC